ATCCATATCGAAAATGGTGCTTCGCTTCTCATTAGCTCATGATTTTTAACCATATATCCCGGTTGAAAGAAACTCTTGTTTTTGATTCCCTAGCTAGATTATGAGATTCATATCCTGGTCGGGACAGTTTGCAATTGATTGGTCGAAATATGACTTCAGGGACTAACAATTTTGAATATACATATATATTTTTACAGATGTTGAAATTTGGTCTCCTTGTTATTATTTGTTTATTTTTATTTTTCTATCACGGCACGTTATACTTTAAAATGAAAATAAACAGCCGTTAGAAACAATATATTATGTCACACATACAACTATCTATTTCAGTCTGCTAAAATCAACATTTTTATAAAGAGCAATACAAATGCAGAAGGACGTATACCTGTGTTTTATAGATTACACAAAGGCGTTCTATAAAATACGCCACAAAGATCTGTTGAAATTGGTCACCATCGTTGGTATATTTAGGAAAGATAGAATAATCCAGAACCTATTCGGATTGAGGAATCGGAGAGCCAAGTTCGAATTCCAGTTATTCCATTACATCCACTTACGTCCTAACACCCTTGGGAAAGGTATGAATCCTTCTATCCCAGCTATGGATAAATAGCAGGACAGACCGGGTTCTATATCCTTGATGGCAGCTGGTCTACCGCAGAAAGAAATGGCAACCTACTGCGGTAAAAAAAATCTGCCCTGTCAAAGAAACATACATGATCGCCTAAGCGTGTATCACGTTATAACTGACTGGCTGATACTGGCAGCAAACGTCCTGCATACGGATAGAAAATGAGTTCTGTAAATGTACAAAAATAGAAAAATGTGAATTATTTGAAGGGAAGAGAGAAGGAATTAAGAGAACCTGCCAAGTGGAGAGGTATTAGCAACACGGCATTTATCAGTGTTTCAGACGGGTGTGGGCAGTAGCCACACAGAAATCTATCACTATGTGGGGAGAGTCCACAAGGACATTAAGAGTAAGGCCACCATTATCCCTGTTAAATTACCCATGGATGTTCGGCATTTGGGATATCTATTTCTTACCCCCTATACCATATGAAGAGAAAGACTCAATCATAGAAATGATTGGCAGAGGCTTAGTAATTGTACAGAATTGTGGGAGCCAATAATGAAGGGATTCTCCAATGTTACCTTGAATAAAATGCCAGTACTAATGAAGCCGATAGAAAAGATCGATATGGATCAATTGACAAGTTAATTGGGAAATGAAGGTATGGCTTGGGAAGACGATGAGTTGGGAACGACGAGGCTGATATCAAATCAACCAGATTCCCACCCGAATCACCAAAAGGTTAGAACGTCATGTCTACCAAGCCAGTTGGTCGTCACAGGACGAGACAACACGACTGACGCGACAGGCGGACGTCACGTTTGGAGCAGCGACACCTGAACGGAGCAGCGAGGAGCGAACAGCTGGCGCCGCGGAGGACGTCACAATTGGTGCTGTTTAGGGACGTCACAGTTGGTGCCGTGGTAGACCAGAATAGAACGTCACAATTGGCGCTGCGACCAGGGGACGACGTCACAAATCTCTTAAAATTCTCTGCCTGCTCCAAAGTATAATGGAATTGGTTTTTGAAGGGTAATATTTTAAAACCGCAGCATAACACGGCTAGAAAGAAAACATCACATCGTTGTGGAGAAAAGGCTCTTAAATAAGTATATTCTTTTTATCCGATATTGAAACCTATAAATCCACTCTTTAGCCCAGTAATCCAATTATAATTTTATTTCGAAAGTTACGATACATGGATTCTACAAACCACTGCCAATATATTAAGTTACCTGAATATCAGAAAGTGTTTTTAAGCTAAAAGATAATAATAATTTCTATATTACATATATATATATATATATATATATATATATATATATATATATATATATATATATATGCATATTATTACGATAATTTACAATATGAAAAATTCAAGAAATTATTAAACATCAATTACAGGATGATAGAATGCATTCTTTTTAGCAAAAGGTTGAGCCCAAAATACAAATTGCACATCGGAGATACCAAAATCAAAGAAGTAAAAATAATATCTGGGAAGGGTTTTAACAGAGGACAGAAAATGTGATCCTAAAATCCGAAAGTGAATTGTGGCAGCCAAAGATGCCTTCTAAAAGATAAGTAGAGTATTAAAAAATAGAAAAAACATTACCAGAAAGAAGGAAAAACTACTAAACTGTTATGTGATATATGTCCTTCTGTATGGCAGTGAGTGCTTGACAGTCTTCTAAAAGATGAAAAAGAGACTTGAAGCAGGAGAAATGTGATTCTACGGAAGGATGCTGAGGATACTATGGATTAAATAAGTGAGCAACGACGAAGTTTTAGAGAAAATGGAAACAGAAAGGAAACTTATACTTCACATCAGGAAGAAACAGTTGAAATTCCTAGGGCATAAATGAGGAAGGAGGGCTTGGAAAATATGATACTCACAGGATAGATTGAGAACAAGAGAGACAAACGATATAAACGCATAACATACTTAGTGAGCTTGAGTAATTGGATGGCGGAACAGGGTTTACGAGAAATAACAAAGACTAATTAAGAGCCGCAAAAGACAAGAAGATGTGGAGAACCATGATCGACTATATCCTGAGGGGATACGCCATATAAAGAAGAAGAAGAAGAAGAAGAAGAAGAAGAAGAAGAAGAAGCACAGATATGACAGGATAGGAATGATAGATAACTTGAAGAGGTTAAGATTATAGTGATCTAGGGGACAATTGCACGGGCATATGTTCCACAACGTAGCAGTTATTGCTAAAAAAAGGCAAGTGAAAAATTATCCTTTCATTTGGAATACAGAGAAAATGGGGGTGATTTGACTACGTGGATCTAGCTTGGTGTGTACAAGTTGTAAAGGTCTGAACTGGAGGAACTAAACATTGGTGTTCATCTAAACATTTGCCATGGAAATAGCGATAGAGTAACGAGAGGCTTGCAACTTTGCGTCTCTGAGGAAAGAGGCTGTATAGTGGGAAATATGTATTCTCACACAAGAATGCATAAACTCTATCAAGTCTGGAAAGTGAGGATTTAAAAAACTCCTACGGAAAGTAGTGAAGGAAAACAAAAAGAAAGGATTAAACATCAGCTGCAAGCATGGTTGCTAGCAAAAGGATAACCCCCAAATGCAAATTAAAAATCGGGGGTACCAAATACAAATAAGGTCGGAAGTGTAAATATCTGGGAAGTGTTTTAACAGAGGACGAAAAGAACGACTCTGAAATCCAAAGGCGTATTGGGATAAACAAGGAAGCATTCCAAAAAGCTAAGTGGGGTACTAAGAAATAGAAAACAAGCAAAATAGTACTAAACTGCTACGTAATATCTGTCATCCTCCAAAGCAGGGAATACTGGACGATCTCCTCAAAGATGGAGAGGAGTCTTGAAACAACAGAAATGTGGTCCTACAGAAGGATGCTGAGGATATCGTGATCCGACTCTGTGAGTAACATCGAAGTTTTGGAGAAAATGGAAACAAAAAGGAAACTAATACTTAACATCTGGAAGAGAGAGTTGAGGATTCTAGGCATATAATGAGGAAGGAAGGCTTGGAAAATCTGATACCCACAGGACAGATAGCGGGCAAAAGAGACAGAGGAAAACAATGCATAACATATTTGATGCGCTTCAGTAAATGGACGACGGGACAGAGCTTATGGGAAATAACAGAGGCAAAATTTATTAAGAGCTACATAAGTCAGAAATTTGGAGAAAGCTGATGGCACACGGCCCATAAAGAAGGAGAACTATACATCTGAATGTGTCTAAATTATAGTGAGCGTTTTTGTATAGGTCTCATACTGTATGTCAATGTGTTTCAAATTGCTATTGTGCGTAAAGTGACAACTCATGAATTATGGGCGTGTGTTAAATAACACAATCTATAAATAAATGCATTTTTATTACATTGCGTCCAAGAGCTGTTATCACTCTTTCCAGTATTGATGGAGGTTTTCTTTTTAACCTTTAATTTGAAGCAGTTTGGAATGTCATCTTGATTATATCATTATTTTCTCTTTGAGTTACATGTGCTATCCATTTTAGTTGTTGCTGCTGTTGGTAGTCCTCAAGTGATGAGGTTTATGCTATTTGTTTGGGATTCCGTAGTGTCAGTCCACAATGTTCAAAGAAGGATGGTGGACACCTGAAAATGGGTAGAGGTAACTTGGCCGAGTCATCGTGTCTACAATAACACTTAGAACTATCAAATGGAAGAACAATTGTTCCAATAAGTCAATAAATAAGTCATATGTCTAATCAAGTCAATTTACTAAACTATCACTGACCCAGTCACTCACAGATTTAAAAAAAACAAAAAAGATATTCTAATTGAACTCGTAAACAGCATAATCATCTTCTCTTTCCTTTTCTGTAACGAGATTAAAAACAAAAGAGACGTTATTAGATAAAAAAAATCGTCTAGTGAACAAAGTGTGAAAGTTACGAAAATGGTACAAGTTTTACGTTGTTTTTTGGTTTTGCTTCCAAAGGCGTCAGAAAACAGAATCGGAAATGAGTTCCTTGTTTCTAATTATGCATTAATAAAAAAAAAAAAACTGTTTATCATGCAAACAATTCAAATCCAAAGAGAGACCAAGATAGCGTTCAAGTCTCCACACTGACAGGGGAAGAGTCAATAGGGAAAAATCGTTACCGGAGTAGGCTTAAGCAATTCAAACTTTTCTAAAAAGAAATCTTTACTTTTTACACCTGGAGTAATTTAATTGTGTTATTTAATCCTAGAACACTAACCATGGGTATATAGTAACCAGTGTGTGTGTATAAGCATGATAACTTTAAAATTCAAGTTTTGAGAAATTTTAACACATATATTTATATATATATATATATATATATATATATATATATATATATATATATATATATATCATAAAGAAACAGTTTATACAAAAATATAAAATCTGGCTTACATTCAGTTGTTTTCGAATGAAAATTAACCCGCTTCACAGGCAAGCTCTTTAAGGTGTAAATAGCCTTGTAGTTTCGGGACAAACTGAAAAACATAATGCGAGAATCTATATGCACATAGATTAGTACATACGTTCAGATAGATAGATAGATACATAGATACATACATAAAATGAAACTGAGATAGATAGATAGATAGATAGATAGATAGATAGATAGATAGATAGATATGAAGAAACTTTGATCGATCGATAGATATGAAGTGACTGAGTTAGTGAAAGATCGTTGCTGGAATAGGCTTAAGCAATTTAGCCTTTTCTAAAAAATAAATCTTTATTTTCTACACCTGGAGTAATTTCATTGTATTATTTAACCCTATAACACTAACCATGCGTATATAGTACCCAGCGCAAATTTTTCTATTTTTAATTACAATTTTCAGTACCTGATTTTCTTACCTAAATAATATTTTTCAGTTCCTATTAATGTTAACTGAAAGTAAAAGGTTTGAAGTGTCTGCATGTAAAATATTTCAAATAAAGATATATATTTAATATATATATATATATATATATATATATATATATATATATATATATATATATTGATATTTTCAAAATCGGGTATGATATATACCCATGGTTAGTGGTAGTGTAACTTTAATTGATGGTTAGAGTTCTTGGGTTAAGTAAATATAATCTTCATGTATTTACACTATTTACAAGTGGATTATTGCCCTCATCATTGATGTTATCACAACGTTTCGGCTGTTGTGTTCTCCAGCCTTCATCAGGTGTATGCCGATCTGGCTAAGCTACAAGGAAATTCGAACTCTGTGACATAGTTCGGATTTCAATCTCAAGGTTTGACAGTGTGTACCTGGACAAGTGGAAACAAGGTGAGTAATAATACTAAAATAAATATTAAATAATAATACTAAAAATAAGAACTATATTAAATATCCCTTAGTATAGAGGGTTCAACGAGAACAATCTACCTTGTAGATTAAATAATGGGTTTAGTTCGGAATTCCCTGTAGGTTACTCGAATTGACATATACCTGAAGAAGCCGGAGGGAACAACGATCGAAACGATGTGATAACAATAAAGATGGGGACGATAGGCTGCATGTAAATAATAACTCATTATTTACATTATTTGGACTATTGTCTTCATCTTTGTCGCCATATTTATTACAACGTTTCGGCCGTTGTACGCTCCGGTCTTCTTCAGGTGGTTGGAATGTCGAACTGAACCCTTCATTTCGCTCACTGGGGTAGACTGTTCTGTTTCCACGTGCCATGTTTAATGGATGTCAGTTATCAGTTTTCTCCTGTTAATTCCCCTCTCCAAGTTCTCCACTGCCTTAACCGGGTATTGAACTCACACTCTTTGGGTCCTCTCACTGAATCTAACCAACGCCTTTATCCACTGTCCTCAAGAACACATGGCACAGTGGATCAAGGCGTTGGTTAGATCCAGTGACAGGACCCAAAGAGTGTGAGTTCAGTTAAGGCAGTGAAGAACTTGGAGAGGGGAATGAACAGGAGATAACTGACATCCATTAGACATGGCACAGTCTACACCAGTGGGCGAAATAAAGGGTTCAGTTCGACATTCCAACTTATATAATATATATGTGAGCATGATAATTTAAAATTTAAGTTTTGAGAAATTTTAAATATATATATATATATATATATATATATATATATATATATATATATATATATATATATATTTTTATGTTTATACATTCTTTTATAGATACAAATATTTAAGTAAATGCTCTGTTTATAATAAACAGTATTAGTAACATTTACCGGCCTGAATGTCCGACAAAATTTTCATAGAAAATATTCGCCCTCCGACAGTAATCGAACCTATGGTTTGCCTTTTCACCATCCTTCCGACTTCCCCTTTCTGACAAACATCTTTCTGTTCCTTCTGCCTTCAATATGTTCTGTGAGTGTCTATTTCTCCAAACACTTTTTACTCATTATGCGTTCCAGAAATATCAACTGCCGTTTTCTTACAACCGGCATGGTGTCATTTTTGTTTCCGTTTTCCTTAAATCTTCTTCGTTGCTCACATGATCTTTGGTATTCTCAGCATCCTTCTGTAGAACCAAATTTCTTTTGCTTCAAGTCTCTTCTTCAACTGTGAGGAGATATCCCGGCATTAACTGATATATAAGAAAGCTGATATTACATCTCATGTCAGCACTCATTAATTTTATTCTAACAAAATTTTCTTGTTTCTAAATATTATGCCTAGTTATGGTTTAGTTAAAGAGTTAGTAGTATAAAGGGATTAGAATTTAAAACTTTTAAAACATTGGATTAAACTATGCAAGAAAGAGTCCAGCTTACCGAGTTAGGAATCCAGGGAAAGTAACAAGAATCTAAACCGGATGAAGTAAAAAGACAACAGTATATAGGAAGGGAGTGTAAAAAGCCTTTTTTAGTATGTCAAAAAGAACGGTTGGACTCTTAGGCATGTCAGAATATATTGCAATGTCTAGGTGCGGAGCACGACGCTTCCAATGTGCTGGTCTGACTCGTCCTAAGTCAAGTCGGTGTTGCTGTTTGAGCTGATATGATACAAAACCTTAAATCGGCGATGAGGACTGTGCATCACTGAAGATCACCCTTGATGCGTCTAAAATGTATTATGCAACAACTATCAAGAACATCTTGCATTATTACTATGCGACTTCGTATTCGGTTGCCACATTTCTGCCCTCTGTTAAAACGTTTTCTAGTTATTTAAAATTTCTTGAAATCGCTACAAAAATGGCAGGTTTTAGATATATTTACAATTCCCTTGACACAACGTAATTCACTTTATTAAAAATATTTTAAAAATAAAATATACTTTTCAGAAACTCATCTTTAGGAGGATTAACTGATTTATGGTTGAATTATTCGAAGTTAAAACAAAAATATTACTTTTAGTTTAAAATATAATAGAAATGCGTTTTATAACAACTATCTCGATAGACTTACATTTGTAATTTTTTCTACGGGGGATATATCTGTAAAACTTACTTCAGGAATATAATGTGAGCCTTTTTCATATAACAATCCAAAAAAGGAAAATATTCTAAGTAATCTAATTTTTGATTGAATTATACGTGCTTTGGCTTTAAATTTATTATAGTTTTAGCTCTTATTTTCTGATAATGCCATCTATGGACGTCCGTATTTACAAAAGTCGGCACGTTTACACAGAAAAAATTCAAAAGTTCTTTAAAAAATATTGTGGCTCACTAAATTGTAGTAAGCTTTTCCATTTATGATCAGTAAATATAGTTTATACTTAATAAAAATATAACCTAACCGCTGCACATTAAAACAGAAATTTAAGAGATTCAGAACTTTATAAATTTTTCTAATTATTTTTTAAATAAAAATAATTTTTGTAAAAATTCATTATTCATCGAAAAAAATTCTTAAGTGTCCATAATATATCTGATTCATATAAGTAATTAAAAGCTTTTCTAATTAAATAATGTCTTAGTTTTATTGGACTTTTTATTTTAAGATTCAGAGCAGACTTTCGGCAACTCGGGATCCTGGTTTGCCAAAACAAATGATGATTTAATTTTTCCAATGACTTCTGCTTATAATTAACATTAAGCTGTCCAAGAATGGATTTCTCGAAATTTCATAAAATTAAATAAGTTATGAATAACAGATGTAGAAAAATATTTTACCAAGATTTTCTAAAAGAAAAAATCCCTATACTAATTTTTTTAACCCGGTGAGGCATGATTTTGAAGGTTCTAAAAATGCTTAAAAATATAATTTAATAATCAGAACATCGTTTTGACTTTCCTTTTAATAATAACATAAAGATTTTGACGATAACACTTTGTTTTTATTAAGTATAGGGTATTTTTCAACGTGTATGCTCATATATTTTTAGCGAAACTTTGGAGGTACCTATATATGTGGGTTATTTTTTAATGAAAAAATAACCCACCAACCTCCGACCTTATTTTCATATTTTAGTATAGATCTGACTTTTAATTGGTTAACCCAGACATACCCACAAGTATATTTTTAATTCTGAACTTATGCCCCGCCTTTAACTTCCGAAAAGAGGTAACGATTTGTTTTCAAATTCCCCAAATAAATCTTTTTTATCACTTCACTATTTACATTATTCGGACTATTGTCCACATCTTTCTCGCCATATTTACCACAACGTTTCGGCCGTTGTACGAACTGGCCTTCTTCAGGTAGTTGGAATATCGAACTGAAACTTTATTTCGCTCGTTGGGGTCGACTGTTCTAGTTCCACAATAAAGCGTTCAGTTCGACATTCCAACCACCTGAAGAAGGCCAGGGCGTACAACGCCCGAAACTTTGTGATAAATATGGCGAAAAAGATGAGGACAATAGTCTGAATAATTTAAATAGTGTATATAACGCTTCATCTCAGAAATATAGACTGATTTTCATCACTTGTAATCTACTATCGCCTGAAGAAGTTCAATCATAGTATTGAAACATGAAAGCTTTTGTGTAGCGATGTAAAATGCTTTTATTTTTATCTTTTATAATAAAAATATTATAATAATGTGTTTTCTCTACTTTGTATTGAGCACTTTTTTAAAAAGTAAATGCTACAAACTGTGGATTTTTACTCCATCTGTCCTTTCTCTTATTTGTACACACACACACACACACACATATATATATATATATATGCTCATGAAAAATTTATTTCAGTTGAGCTGTCTGGGGAGGAAGTGTGAGTTTGTAAACAGTGACTATTATGGTTAAGAATGCAAAACTCTTCGGTAAATCGAATCGAGTTCTCTCAGTGTGTGTTTATATAAAAATAAATACGCTTAAATTCACCTTCGTCCCTACTGTGCGCCAACGGCTTTGTAAAATCCCCGCCTGACGCCAATTCAGTCGGGTTTCGATCTCTAGCTAGAGGCAACCGGACGTCTAGCTGATGAACTGTGATGCAGCTAAATAGTCTGTCTGTGGATGACAATATATATGCTCCTGAACTTTATATAACTTTCAGTCCATTTTTACTCTTGAGTGTCGCATTGATAGCTAGAAAAAAAATGAAAAATGCAAGTTGACAAGAAAATCAAATCGTCAAAAAGTCAGTTTCAATGAAAAAAAACTGAAATTCTAAGCGATTGATTTTCCAAAACTCAAAGAAATCCGCTATTCCTTGGCGTTTTCTCGAGCTGTAAAAAATATAAACACAAGGTTTAGATTGGAAAACGATCGCCAGGCTTGAGAGAAACAAGAATATTTTTTTTTTTTTTTTTTAAATAAATTGCTACTTAATTGATTATGCTTTTGTTAGATTTTTGGGGCAGGGCGATGGAATCTCAAGTAGTCAACTTTGTACAAGTTGATAACTAAACCTATATATATATATATATATATATATATATATATATATATATATATATATATATCAATCTATTTTTTTAATCGGTATCACCCCAGGCAAGGCAATAATGCCAATAAAATACAAATGGTTACAGGGTGTAGAAGAATTAAGAACATAAATATTAATGATGAGCAGAAAAAGAAGAGAGTAATCAGGCGAACAGTAGACAGCAATTGACATTGCATTTCAAGTTTTGCAGATTAAAGTTGGCTAGAAAGCATGAAGCCGGAAGAGAGTTCCACAAGCGAGAAGTGCGAGAAAATAAACTGTCAGCCTAGAACTTATGACTACATCTAGCCAGCTCATCTGTCAATTGATGTGATCTCGACGCCAGTTTAGTGATACACTTAAATTAAAAAACTCTGGGTACCATAGCGAAGAGCTCATTCAAAAAAATTCCTATAAAATTATTTATAGAAAAGACATAGAGAGGCAACGTTAGGGCAGCGGCAAAATGACTGGGCTGGGCCGGTAGATAAGGGCCAATAAAATTGCAGATTATTCTTTGGCTCTTATCAATGATCTCAAGATAATTAGAAGAGACACCGGACCATTATACTCAGCAATATTCTAAACATGGACGAATGGTAGACTTATAGATAAGTAAAATAGATTGTCTCGCCCGACATATTGAACCAATTATACTAGCAATGATTTCTGAGTCTTTCCACTTCATATCAGCAGAGAACATATCTGGACTAGATAGAAAGATAGATAGATAAGATAGGGAAAGACTGGACTAGATAGATAGATAGATAGATAGATAGATAGATAGATAGATAGATTACAGTTGCATTAACCTACAAATCACTCGATGAATATTATGATCCTTGTTTTTTAAAATTATAACCTGTATAAGGTTTTTTTTAATACGCAAGTACTTTCAACTGTACATTCAGTCATCTTAAGGCATGGAAATTATTTTGTCTTTGGTAATATATATATATATATATATATATATATATATATAGACAGTTTAGTCGTCTGAAGAATGCGAGGCGTGAAATTCTGGGAACAACTTAAGCCGTCCTTTGATTGGAGTTAACGTAAGGGAAGCGTTTTTTGCTCTATCGAGGAAATCTAGCTGTTGAGCACTTTACTGTGTAAATAGGTATAAGTCATTAAGTCATTTATTTTCTCTCCTTCGAGATTTTATCTTGATTATGGTTTCCTTTCTTTTGACAACTTTTCTATGGGTTAGTTGTTTTTCTTATATATATATATATATATATATATATATATATATATTAAATAAAACAAACAACCTTTGGTAAACCAAAAGACAATTTCCAAACCTAAAACACTTATCCAGATACAGCCTCGAATAACAGCGACAATATGGAAAAAGTAAAAACCCAAAAGCAAATTTATTTACTCAGTAAAGTGCTCGACTCCTACATTTTCTAGACAGAGCAAAAAAAACGCTTACCAACGTTAAATCCTTTGAAAGCGTGGCTCTAGTCGTAGTTCGAATTTAAGTTCAATTCCTTACATTCAATTACATGCTAATAACCTTATTATAAAGTTAAGGTTCCATTTCCTCACACGTCAGCTATGTGTAAAATAGCAGGGGATACGGGGTCCTATAGCCTTGGGTGGTAACCGGTCTAGGAGAATGACAACTCTGAATTCAATGTTTAAGAAATCAAAATTTTGGCAATGTGTTCCGCTTGGTCGGTAATTAATCAAATGTCATATTGTTGCGGTCAGTCTCAAAAGCCAGAAGAGGCTATTCACAGGTCATGTCGAGTTAATAACGCTGAACCAAAGCAAAAGCAATCTGTGTTTCTTAGAAAATTGTTTTAAAGAATTATGCTGAGATCAGCAGGGGCGAATTCCTGATAAAATACTTTCCTGCCAAATAGAAACAGGATTAAACAAGCAGTTCTGAATTCTAAGTCTCGATTAAAGTTGTTCAAAATTTATTGGTTGCCAAATCTTTTTCTAGATAGAAATATGAAAGAATTGGGCTTAAGTCGGCAATGTATTGATCTTATTTTTCTCTTCTATATCATGAACTTTAGAGAGAGTTTGGTGTGTTTTCTGGGTGCAAGATAAGGTTCAGTTTAATTATCGGAGTAAGATTTTTTTTATCTGTTCATTATCTGATACCAGGGTTCCGGATTCGATGAAATTCCAGATGTCCTTAGGCGCGGGGAATATAACTTCTTTAATTTTTAATGAAATGGAAAATTGTAAGCCGATGTGATTGGAATTAGGTTATCTCCGGACGCTACACATTAAAGAAAAAAATCTTTAGAACAATATTTTGGATTAGTCCCCCAAAAAGAATAATCCAAGTTTGCCGATATCACATAAAACTCTCTTTATCGATTCACTTGTTGATATCAAAGAATATTCTAAATATACTCCACACTGACTTCGTCTTGCTCCAGTACATATTTTCACGCTCACAGGTCATTTTACCGCCATCGATTCAACGCAGGAAAACTCACCTCGAAGAAGGTTAACCGCGAGGAAAATTGACCGCGATGAAGTTTTACCGCGAGGAAAATTCACCGTGAGGAAAATCCATCGCATGGAAAATTCACCGCGAAGAAGGTTCTCAGCGAAGAAAATTCACCGCGAAGAAGGTTCTCCGCAAGGAAAATTCACCTCGGAGAAGGTTCACCGCGAGGAAAATTCACCGCGAAGAAGGTTCTCCGCAAGGAAAATTCACCCCGAAGAACGTTCTCCACGAGAAACATTCACCGCAAAGAATGTTCCCCGCAAAGGAAAATTCACCGCGAAGAAGGTTCTCCGCAAGGAAAATTCACCCCGAAGAACGTTCTCCGTAAGGAAAATTCACCAGGAAGAAGGTTTCCCACGAGGAAAATTCACCGCAAAGCAGTTTTACCACGCGGAAAACTCACCGCATGAATTGATTAGATTTTATTATTAATAATTTTATAATTAATACACACACACACACACACACACACACACACACACACGCACACACACACACACACACACACACATATATATATATATATATATATATATATATATATATAGATAGATAGATAGATAGATAGATTCGGTTGCATGGATAGTACTTTGTAACCCCGAGTTTCATGCTTTTGTGATCATCAAAGTTATTTTTTTAAAAGTGGATCTATTTATGCTTATTTGTCTTTCATTATTCGTGTATGGTGGAGGGGGAATTTTCCTCTGCGTATGTTTGGGATGATACTCTCATATACATAAACAGACACACATGCATGTGCATGCCTTTTAGTTCGTATAAACACACCCATATAAATAATCTGAGGCTAGACGCAGTTACACATCCCTGCGTCCGAGCACACCATATATCCGCAACTGACATCCTATTTCGGTCCCAAGACTGTAGTGTTACAAATGTAGCAAAGTTCTCTTAACAAGGAACAGGTGGGGGCGATCTTAACATTTTACAGGTCGGTCGTATGTATCTGAATATGTTAACTCTATCACGGATAGATACTGAACACTGTCCACTATACAGTGGAGTAATGGATAGCGGCTCGGATTGGGGAATCGGAGGGCCGAGTTCGAATTCCAGTTGAATCCATTACATTCACTTACATACTAATACCTTGGGAAACGTATGAATCGTCTTCTTTTCCCCACCCAGATATGGGTAAATATCAACACAGACCAGGTTCTATATCCTTGGATAGCAACTTGGTGGCAACTGGTCTACCGCAGAAAGAAATGGCAACCTACTGCGCGAAAAAATCTGCAGTCGTGTATCCGAAGATACATGATCGCCTAAGCATGTATCACGTAGGGCACATAACTGACTAAACGTGTATATATATATATATATATATATATATATATATATATATATATATATATGTGTGTGTGTGTGTGTGTGTATGTGGATGTGTCTCTCTCTCTCTCTCTCTCTCTCTATATATATATATATATATATATATATATATATATATATATATATAGGCAATCTTATTGCAGACGTTCGCTCAGGGGACTTTGTTCAACACCCAGAGAGCCCACCTGTGGTTTATACAACAACTATGCTGAGCAGACCTTAGTTACGATTTCTGGGAGAGCGTGTTATCTAACGTGATCAACAATGTGAACAAGGCCAGCACACTCAAACACTCGGTCATGATGACTTGTGACTTCGTGCTAGAACAGTTCCGTCTTTCCCAATTTCACTCGCAAGGCTTGGGTCAGCCCGTGGTATGGTTTTCAGGCCCTTTCCACACGGATCACCCCCTCCAGACAAAGATTCAAATCCGAGTCTCATGGTCAGAAAGCGAACGTTCTAACCTCACGGCGACGCGCTCATAGCATAACTATACAGCTACTTATAATTAAAAAAAAGCCAAAGCAGTGAAGCAAATGGCTTGCGATTCGAACAATATCAGTAATTGATTTACTTTTGTTTACCATTGGTTTTCATTGTTATTAACTAGAATTAACCAAAAGCATTAATTGCTTTGTCTTAATTGTAAGTAACTGTATAGTGACTTTATTGCTACCTGTGTATATATATATATATATATATATATATATATATATATATATATATATATATATATATGAGGTAGGTGTTTTAAAGACTACACAACTTTTCCGTTTAATGACTTTCTTTTCTGTTTTTCATGCTTTCTCGCAAGTTATATATATATATATATATATATATATATATATATATATATATATATAATTACTTATTAGAAAATTATAACATAAATGTTATGAAATCACTACAAAAATAGCTATTTTGTTTCAACACTTCTGGTGCCTTATGAAGTGATGGTGTTGAATGTAGATTAAAGGGTTCTTAAAAAAGTTCAAATCAATCAAACACCCTTCGTAAGGACAAACGCAGTTTTGGAATGACCAATCAAAATACAAGTATATGAGATTTCAAAAAACTTGACAACGAACTTTGGTTATAAAAAGTATTTAATGCTTTAATGTTGGGGTTACACTAAAATAGAATTCATTTTAACTAATAAATAGTAACTTATACTATAAAATTAGAAATTAAAAATTAACAATTTTAAAATTTATCTATATTAAGTTTAAAATTATAAAATTATTTAAAGAAACTGAGGAAAAATACATATTTTTCTAATTATTTTGTTTTTTTATTGAAATTAAGTTGGAATAAACGTTAAGATCCAATGCTGCTCTGAACACACACACAGATATATATATATATATATATATATATATATATATATATATATATATATATATATATATATATATATATATATATATATATATATATATATATATATATATATATATATATATATATATATATATATATATATATATATATATATATATATATATATATATATATATATATATATATATATATATATATATATTTTTTGGTGCAAATCTGTCGATAATTGCGGCCGTGCCTTCGTTACACACACACACACACACATACATACATCCTGCTTTTTTATAGATAGAGATTTTGGTGTTATTAATTAAGATTTTTTCTTATTTCGGTGATTTGAATGTGTTACTAGTATATATATATATATAATCTTAATCTATAATTTTTAATAAAGGCTAAACGGATTGAAATTAACATAACGGGAGAAAGAAGAAAAACTAAAACCAAATGAAAACTAAAAAAACAACCAACAGTTTGGCGAAGGCGTGACTATGAGTTGGTTGCCATTTATTTTACAAGGAGAGACAAGTAAATGTCAGAAATTTTAGAAATGTGAGTTGTATAAAAAAAAAAAATTCGTGCACGGATTCATGTAGTTGATGAGATGATAAAATAGTTAATTATCTGAATGAATATAATCAT